TTTTAAAGGTCAGATTCCGTGATGACATTTAGTGCCACCAGTTTGCCTGGAGTTGGGTCAGGCCACAGAGCCTCTACGTAGGAGCATGAGAAGGCTCCTATGACTTTAAGATTCATATTGATGTCCTGCAGTGGCATGCACCATCTCTTTTAAGCAAGTCCTTAAGGTACAGGAGATCCCTCAGAGTCTAGACCTGGCTCCCTGTGTGTCTGAATTCTGATCAAGACAAGTCAGTAGAATAGGGCATCTCTTTGCCCCCTTTGTCACCAGTATTCTAAGGCTTAAGTAACAGGTCAGTGGCTCCCCAGGATCCAGCCCACAAGCTTCCCTCTGTGCCAATGTGCTGTACGGCAAGTGCTGATGTTCGGCATAGCTGACCTTCAAGCTAGTCATAAGGGTGAATCAAAAATAAAATTCAATTCATCATATAAACATATTGGCCTCTTTAGATAATTGGTACTTCAAATGCATACCATAAAATAAATCAATCATCAGATGGAATCCAGGATCACTGCAAAACATCTTTTTAGCTCAACAGCGTTATGAAATGGAATTTTTAGGGACATATTTTAAAGGCATTTCTTTTTAGGATGCAGACTGAGAGGTCAAAGAGAGCACGATCCTGCTGGGTGTAATGTTCATAAGGTAACATGCTGTTTTGTCTGTGCTCATGTCTCCATGTTATTTACTTAGTTAAATACAATTCAGTTTTTCCTTGCATAGCCACCTTTGAGAATGTCTGACACACTACATTGCAGTTAGGACACAATTCCCTCTAAATTACTAAACATATTTGCATTGTTAAATCATCCTACTTGCTAAAGTACGGAGTGTATTATACTAGTCAGCGCTCTAACATCTGCACTGGCCTCCTGCTGTCTTCCAGGCACAATTCAAAGTGCTGATCTTGACCTACAAAATGCATCCAATGCCTATTTCTACACTTGCATAGAGTGATCACAGAGTACATGCTGCTCTCCTCATGGGTAATCCACTCTTTACAAAGAACAGGAGCTCCAGTGAACGCTGTTTTTGCTGAAATACTCTGCACACTTTTCTTCCGTGGTGGATATATCCTTGGCTATGTGGCTGGCAGAAGTTAAACAATTCTGCTGTTCAGGGTTTCCCTCCACATAAACAAGCCCAACTAAAGGCTTGTCTAACTGCCTCTCTTAATTCATGGACGCTCCATCTCACCCCTGCATCTGTTAGCCGTCCACCAACCACTTGGAAATTAGAACATTCTTTCTAATGGCCAGTCCAAATGTTTAAACCTATTATTTCTTGTCCATATTAAACAAGAAAGCAACTGATCCCAGTTTTCCTTGAAGTCAAGATGTATGGGTTGAGGCAAACAAAAACCTCCTACAGATGGAATGGCTTCTTCTGTCAGTGAGGAGTCTTTGATCCAGCAGAGCTTTTCTGCTGGCTGAAAACAGAAGGCAATTTTTGCAGATTTCCCCTTCCCTCTGAAGTCCACTGTGTGCCCAGAAATCTGCTCTGCAGAGTTGGGGGAGACATGAATTGGCAAATAGCCCTGGCTTAGGATGATGGAACCCTGCCCAATGCCTCCAGTGTGTCCAGGATCGCCACACTGCGTGGCTTTGTGTAAAACAAAGCAAGAGAGCTGGTGGCAGCAAAACCCTCATTTAAAGTCTCTTGAGACAGTTTTTCATTCCTTCCCATTGCATTTAATAATGCACACCCAAATCTGAGCTTGAATGGAAGAATGTAGTTTCTCCACCTGGCAGGAGAAGTGGGAGATTCCTATGTCAGTGGGGCTCCTTATCCATTGCAACTTCTATTTTGAAGTTTGTATCTCTACTCAAAGTGATAAATTCCATCCCCCATATAGGTTCACTACCACAGAGCACCATAGGTAGGTCCTATAAAGTTCAACATTAAAGCTGCAGTGGCTAAAAAATCCTACTGAGGTAGGTGTCACCAGCCTTCCCGGTCACCTGGACCAGCCCACCAGCTGTGAGTGCATTGCCACTGAATTCTACAGAGGACAACTAAGAAAGATGGCCAAAAAAAGTTCAGACATGGGTGCAGAGAAATACTTTAGCAGAAGCTAAACATATTTAGTCCAAATGCTTAGCACAACATGCAGACACAGTCCTCTGGCTTGTCTCCGCCTTGATAAGCCAGAGAGATATTCCAACAACAAGCCATGGCTTATTTCCCTGGCTCATCAGGGCAGAGGTCTAGCTTCAGACATCTTGCTAAATAAACCATGGACCAAAGGTCTGTAGCCTGTTTAGCCCCTTCCACTTGCCATGGCAGCAGTCAGGCAGTAGACTAATAAAGACCAGTGGCACGGAGGGTTTTTCAGCCAGAGGACTGAATACGGTTGCAGAGAAGCTCTTGCGGGGCCACATTCCTGTGGTGGGCAGGGTTGAACGCAAAGGGAGCAGGGCCAAAAAATACCAACATATTGCAGTTAAAGCTCTTGCTGCCAGTAACTGTGCCTTGGGAGAAGCATCTCAGCCTTCAACAATGGGGGAGAAAACCTGCACAGAAGCCTGGAAGCCACTGAATGATCGGTGGTTGGGGCATGGGGCCAGCAGGAGAGGACACGGCCTTCTGGAGAACTCAGGGAGTCTGGACTTGGTACCTGGGACTGAGGGTTCCCACCTCTGAAAGAGGCCAAATCCAGTGAGAGACACCATGGAAGAGCTTTGCTGGACATACATCTCCCCTGCTGGCAAAGACTTCCCTGTTTTGTTCAGGGGAGTAGATGAACCATGCATATTTCTTGTTTTTCTGTTGGCATAATACTAGAAATGGGTGCTTCAGATTCTCATTTTCCTATTCCTGGGAGAGATGACCAAATAGGTTTTGCCAGAGTTACTTTCACTAAAAATGTTCCCTGCTATTTCTCCCCGCCAAGCAAGTCACTTTTCTGTCCATCTTTTGTTATGATAAAACCACTTTCTAGTAGCAGATGATAAAATATTAATTGGAACTCTCACTGGATTTGCCTGTAGAACTATTAGTTGACTAGGGGGGTAAAGATGCTTGAATGTATGGGCAGCCATCCACCCAAAGTGTTCAATATTTTAGCAAACAAACCAAAGTTAGTAGAATGATGCATCTGACTAAACCATGCTTTGTTCCAAACCTCAACAGAGTTCTCCTTCATGAAGTAGGAGTAACTGCACTAACATCTCAGATCACATCATAAAAAAAGTTTTGTGGTACTCTAAAAACTAAAATAGATTATGGCATAAGCTTTTATGGGCCAGAATCCACACCACAGAATCAGATGCTTGCATGATAGTATCTGCACTGTAATATCAGCAGTTTGATGGTTCCTCGCAGTATCTAAATACAGTGAAATCTCAGAGATGTGTAAGCAGATCAGCCATTTTAATCAGTGTGAACTATTTTTGTGCATCCACAAGAGGTTTGTGCATCCATAGGGATTATTGAGAGCATTTTTATATTGCTCATTAAGAATAAGTTCTCAGAGTGGTTGAAATGGGCCACCTGTGACTTTGCACGGCCCATTTCAAACTGCAGTTTAACCAGGATGATCTCTTGCTGGGGTACAGCAGGGGTGTTAAACCTCGTTCAGTTCAAGGGTCACATTCGATTTTGAAGCTCCCGGGAGTTGCATTCTCACAGTGGGCAGGGCTGAAGGCAAAACAGGCTGGGGCAAAAGCAAAGGGGCAGGCCCAAACTACAAATAAACAATCAATCAATCATTCAATCAATCAATCAATCAATCAATCAGTATCTTATAGAATAAAGCTCTTCCTCGTGGTAACTAAGTCTTAGGAGAAACATTTCAGCCTTTTAGAATAGGGGAAAAAAGCAAAGAAGCCAGAGAAACACTAAACAACTGGAGGTTGGGAGAAGGAGGTGGGGCCAGCAGAAGGGAGCATGGCCACCTGGAGAACCCATCAGGTTTGATGAAGACCCCTGGAGAGCTAGATTTGGCCCCGGAACACGAGTTCTGTACCCTTGATGCAGAATGTGCAGGTCAGACATGCAGCTTTCTAAATCTGCTTTGTGAATTCATTCCCTTGCACCGTTCATGAAGGTGTTCTACAACCCCGGGACTTCTTGCAGGGCAGGATGATGGCTGTGCTCTCAGGCCCGAATCTATGCTTGCTTCCTACGGAAAGCAAAGATCCAGCAGGCAGCATAAGAACTGTTGAATCAGACAGAGGGCCCCCTCTAGCTCAGTGCTCTCTCTCACACAAAGACCAACCAAGGGACATGGCAATCTCCCAAGCGGTAGGGTATTCGGTGGCAGCCGTGCCCTTTTAGCAGTGCTTCCTGGCTTCTGTAGGCAGAACCTTGGTAGTGAAGTACTACTGTTTGTCTTGACAGAAAAATGGGATACAGTAATACATGTTTCTCTAATACATGCCTATGTATTCACACACCCATCCGCCTAACTGTCCTGCCTCAAAAGCCATTTGGGATACGTTGTCCATCTGGACCAGCAATTACTTGGATCTTTCACACTTCTGCTTCACTTGAAGCAGGAGAGGGAGCAGTTGAGCATCAGAGTAGCAGAGATGAAGTAGAACCTAATTCACATTAATTTCGCTGGCAAAGAAAATGCATTTCATGTGCAGGTCCAATGGTGAGTGAATTCAGGCAGGTCTGCCATTGAGGTCTGCATCAAAATTTAGTGAGCTGCCTGCCCTCTCACCACCTTCATGCAAAGGTGCGATGGTGCAACCACCAAAATACTGGCAGGCGGCATTCTCTTAGGACCTTCAACTTCTACTCCAGGCAATTTTAACCATTCTGGAGCAATCAGGTAGGCAATGGCCGAGCTGGAACAAGCAGCCTCTTTATTTCAAATCATCAAGGAATTGCCTCTGTTTCTTATTCCCTCCCAGGAATTTTAGGCCTCAGTACGGCTGAGGACTGAGAAGAATGTATTTGGAAGGCTCCTGGCTGGGAACAGCGGCTACAGGGCATGTGGTGTCAAAAAGCCTTGCCTCCTACCTATCCCCACAGACACACGTTCTGCTCACCTGGCGGCCAACACGGTTGTTGTGCAGCCTCATACGGGAGTGGATATCTCGGTATGTCTCCCGGGAATCCAGGAAGTCCTTGGAAAACTTCTCTCCATAGTCCACATCAGGGCTGCAGCCCCCCCACTCCCAGGAGTCTTGCAGGCCTGGAGCCTCGGCCGGCATGTGCTCCAGGTGCACGCCATGCATCATGCCCTTGCCTCTGTTCATGGCCTCCAGCTGGAGACGGTGCAGCTTGAGGCGGAAAGCCTCCTCGTCGCCTCGGCGCTTCTGGTCGCAGCCACAGGACTGCAGCTTGCCCAGGGAGCACGCATTGGACACGGCGTGGACCACCCCTGCGGCCGCAATGGCGTAGGCAAAAGCGCTCTCCCGGAAACCTGCAGGAAAGGGCACAGAAACAGCGGCACTCAGTAAAGGCGGGAAGCTCCCCACGCCTGCCACACACACAGTGCAGAATGCTCTGTTGCACATGACACAGCACAGCAAGCGAGTGTGGCTAGAGAACTCCTGTTTTTACCATCCCACCTGTTCACACACACCAGTGGATGAAAGATCAGATCAAATCAAATCAAATCAAAGGATCAAATTGTTTCTAATTTACAAAAGCAGTCTTGCTTTGTCATGTGCTGGTGACCTCTACACTGCATCAGTGATTTAATTCGCGCCTGGCCTACTAAGCTTTCAGTAGAGCTTTTACCAGGCATCACTGGACTCTGCTATTCCTCCCATTATTTCTGTTATAAAAGTGCCCACAGAGGTGTGGCACTGGTAGACCAGCCATGGCCCTCTTCTCCCCACACACACATACAGAGACAAGGGAGGAGCTCCTCTCCAGGGGGCAACAAGGTCTGCCACTGGTTTGACAAGGCAGCATTGGTAGGCCTTGGGCCCTCAGACAAGGAAATTACTGATCAGGAAATGCATGAGTGTATTTCTTCACTTTGAAGCAGCTCAGCTGTCTGAAATAAAAGACATTAATCCCTTATCTGTCCTCCTGAGGTGATGAAAAAGGCTGGGGCCAGAAGGCTGCCTCTTTCTTACTCAAACAACAGACTTTGTTCTTCTGAAGGCCAAACAACATATGATACAGTAGATCCATGATCAGTTCTCCTAATAATGTCTTTTTCTTTGATTAAGTGTAGGGCCCGGAGAATTGAATCAAGACCTCAGTACTTAGGGAAAGCCATTTAAGCCTTCACTTGCCCCCTCAAACCTATCCTGCCCTTAAACCCATATGAGCCACACAGAGAGGAAGAAAGACAAAGATCTTTCTATCATGCCTGCTCTTTTCCCCACTCTGTGGCTAAGAGAATTTTGGATGCTAATTTTGCTTGCAGAAAGGGCACAGATCTTCCCCTATTCCATGACCTTAAATCAAACCTTCACAAAACTGCTTTCCAGTTTACAAGAGACTTACATTATATGCCACTGTGTGCAGCACCAACACCAGAAAACAAAGGGCCTTGAGGAGTGATTGGCAAGGCTGTAGCTTGGCACATAGTCTCAACCTTGCAGGTAGCAAAATCTATCAGGCTGAGGCTCTACCCACAAGCCAATGAAGACAGGTCTGAAGCCTGTGTGCAGCTGTGCAGAATTGCTTCGGGAAAGCAACGGGCGTTGACAGTGAACAGATGCTAAATTGTTTCATGGAAGATAAAGCTACCAGTGGCTCCTAGTCCTCATGGCCATATGCTAAACAGGCAGGATCAGCAGCAGTACCAGATGGGTAGTGAACACAAGCAGAAGGGCACCCCACTTGTCAGCTACCTGCAGAGAGATCTTTGGCCGGATCCAGCATGGTACCTGTGACCTTACGACTGGTGAATATATATGCTTTCTTACCATTTCCTGCTATAGTGGAAAAGGATATAAGGGAGGCCACCATCCTCAAGGGGCTAAAACCTAGCCAGGTACAGCTCTACATGCATCCAAGGGCAACCTTCTACAGCACCTCAATCAATTGCAGACAATGTGTTCGTGAGGACTATTCTGTTATATACACAGCCTGCGCCTGGACCTTGCACAGCACATTCAGCCCGCCCCTTCTTGCCAGGGGAATGGAGCACTCCGGATGCCTGGCCTAAATTTTAGCAGAGGCAGCATCTATCTCCTCTCTCAGGTGAGTAAAAACTTGGCTTGTTGGGTTCTCTCTCCTCTGCACCATCTTCCTTGACTGCCTCCCTTTATTCTGTCAGGAAGAGTGGAACCTTTTAGCTTCCTCTAAACTGAATCCCACTCCCACAAAAAAACCCTTTTCTTTTCCTTTTTCTTTATTGCTTTTGATTAGATCTAAAACCGAGTCTCTTGTAGAGTTCAGCTAGCAAGCGGAGAGTCACTTGTTGGCAGATGTGCATGTGAGGGCCTCCGGCCCACATGTTATTTCAGGTGAAAGATGCCAAGATGTGGAGGAGCCTGACCGCTACTCTTGTCTGACTGCTAAGGCAGCCCTTGGAGGCTCTTCCCTGGATGCCACGGGCCACAAAGGCGCAACAGGTGGGCTACCAGAGAAAAAGACTTCTCTATAATGCCCTCCCCAACCCTGCGGCAGTGGAACGCCCTTTCCAGGGAGAGCCTCAATATTTTCAATATTTTTATTCATTTCATTTGATCTGTATCCTCCTTCTCTATCGAGAAAAATGGCACTCAAAGCAGCTTAGAATCATAAATAAAACTTGATTAAAACAATAATGAAACAAAACCATTTTAATGTCTGATACTGTATTATTTAGATGCTTTGATTGTTGCATGCCTTGTTTTGTTATTTTGTTGCTGCTACTGTTTTTGTTTTATGATTAGAAATCTCCTTGAGGGCATTTTCCAGTTGGGCAGTATAATAATCAAACAAATAAATACCTTGATGGTAGTTGGAGTAGAAAAGCAGGGTTAAAAAAAACAGACGGACGGACGGGAGGGAGCAATGGCTTTTCTGTATCTGCAACTGTCATTCTGAGTATACATAATTGGAAAAATCACACAGACTTTTGCCTAATTAGTAGTAAAGCACAACGATGTTCAGTAGCATGCAATAATAAAGCCTGTTCTTGTGCAGTAGCATTTCCTTGCTAGGGCCTTGTAATGGGTTCATCTCAGAGTATAAAGCTCCATATGAGTGACTGGGAGAAAAAGAGCCATGGCTCTTTTGTTCTAGTTCCTAATTCCTTTATGAGCAGATCAGAGGAAGCTGCCCCAGCTGGTCTAGGAACTCTGGGATACAAGCAGCCAAGCTCCCAGGGAGGGAGCAATCAGGACGAGCAAACAGGAGTTTGGTGGTGAAGTTCAGCAAGGGAGGTCCCTAACTTTTTTCTTCTCCCCGCCCCCCTTAGGTCCCCCTCTTTGTTTTCCTCCTTGTTACACATTCCCATTACTGTTAGGACTGTGTTGTTACCTTTAGCGAAGACAAGAAGAAACACTGGTTGTTACAACAGGCCCAACAAAGTAGAATCAAAATAGTAGCAGAAAAAAATGGACTGAGAAGACTCCCCGGCAGTGGTAACCTGCAACATCTGTCCAATGCTTGTTTTCCTGCCTGAGGTCAACATGGCCTAGACAAACAAGTGCAAGTCAATAGCCCTGTTAGAAGGAAAGGTGAGAGGACTGGAGCAGCAAGTGTCATCCCTCAAGGTAACAGAAGAAGATAAAGAGTTTTTAGACAAAGCAGTGGAACTGCAACAGCCAAGAATAGGACAGAAACTAGAAATTCAATGCAAACTGAGGCAGAAGAAGAAAATCCTAAGAGAAGGGAGACTCCTGCAAAAGGGTGACAGGTCCAGAAGAACCTTATAAAATCTCCAGTAGAAGACACTGCACTGGTGGAAGCTTTGGAACTCTAGAACTGCTTTCAGTTACTCAAGGATGAGATTGTAGGGCAATCTGCAATGGAAGAACTGCAAGTTATCGCGTGCAACACTGAACAAGAGACTAAAGGTCAACCGAGTAGTGACAATGATACCAAGCCATGCAAGAACAAGAGGAGAAGTGTTAGTTGTGGGAGACTCCCTGTTGTGTGGAATGGAAATGCATGTATGTCAGGATGACCCCTGGACTTGTCAGGGACGCTGTCTCCTTGGAGGACAGTTTAGGGATATAACGGAAAGATTGCCAAGGCTCACAGAACCCACTGACACCTATCCCTTCCTTCTTATACATGCGGGAGCAAATTACACTGCCAAGCAGAGCTTTGAAGAAATCACATCAGACTTTAAAGCTTTAGGGAGGAAAGTCAAGAAACCTGGGGCCCAGTTAGTGTTCCTTTCAATCTTTCCTGTTCTTGGAAGAGGAATAGGCAGGGAAAGGAAAATGCTCCGGATGAATGCCTGGCTATGAAGGTGGTGCTGACATGAGAGATTTGGATTCTTGAAGCACAGGATACATTTCCTGGAAGATGGACTGTTGGGAAGGGATGGGTTGCACCTTACAAGGGCTGGAAAGAATGTGTTTGGCCACAGAATGGAGACATTCATCAGAAAGCTTTTAAACTGAATCCTACAGGGGAGGGAGAAGTACACCTGGGTGTAACAATGGACAAAGTCTTATGCACCACAACTGAGACAGCAGCTCTAACAGTGCCCAGTAATAGTCTTCCAAAACAGGTAGGAAGAAAGCTGGAGTATAAAGCATGTGGTATATACTAATTTCTCCAATATTCATTGGGAGACAAATTCTGCCAAACCTAGCCCTTTCAAGAGATTCTTAACACGTGTTACTGATAACTTCATCCAACTGAAAGTAGAGGAAGGAACAAGAGGAATGGCAATTCTTGACTTGTTACTAGCCAAGTGGGAAGACCTAATGGACAAAGTGGCAGCTAGGGGAACGTGACCACTCCACAGCTCAGTTCTTGATTCTAAAGGAAGCAAAAGCCAAATATAACCAAACATGTACACTGTATTTTAGGGAGGCCAATTTAAATAAACTCAGAACTATGATCAGTAAAGTCCCATGACATGTGACTCTAATGAGAAAAGGAGTCCAAGATAGGTGGGAATTTAAAAAAAAAAGGACATTCTAAAGGCCCAATTATAGACAATTCCAACAAGGGAAAGGGATAGAAGAAAACATAAGATGCCCATGTGGCTTCACAAAAAGTTTAGAGATGATCTGAAAACAAAAAAGGACATGTATAGGAAGTGGAAAGAAGGTCAGGCTACAGAAGAAGAATATAGGTTAGTAGCACGGAATTGCAGAGATGGCATCAGGAAGGCTAAAGTAGGAATGCATTGAAGCTAGCAAGGGGTGCTAAAAGCAACAAAAAAGCCTTCTTCACGTATGTCCAAAGTAAAAGACAGAGGAAAGAAATAGGGGATCTGCTATTCAATGTGGATGGCAATATAACAATTGACAAAGAAAAGGCACAACAGCTCAACTCCTCCTTTGGCTC